TTGTCAGAGCCGTGTTTGTGGAGCCGCACGCGGCGGTGGGTCTCGGGCAGGATGTCCACATCGATGATGGAGGAGATCTGGCGGAAGTCCTGGGGCATGCCGATGAGCAGGTGAGGTTTGGCCCGGTAGTGTGCTGGGCGCAGCAGCCCCTTCTTCTTCCGTTGCAGGGAGTTTGAGGCGAAGACGCCGGCGTCCGACTCTGCTGTAGGGAGGAAGGGAGGGCACGGTCAGGCACCGCAGCTGCCTGGGGATGCGACCATGTGCCCTTGGCCCCAGGTGTTAGGGGAGGCGGTGGGAGAAGTGCCCTGCTCGCTGGTCTCACCAGCTTTTCCTCCCCAGAGCATCACCCCAGCTTTTCCTGCAGCCTGTCTCCGCCGGGCCCATCTCCTGGGATTACCCAGCGTACACGAGGCCGGGATTAGTGGGATCGAGGCGGTGATTCAGCCTTAATCACACTTTAAGCCAAACTCTGCAGCTTAACACTAGAGCTGCCAGCCCTGGCAGCCCAGGAGCCACAGCCGTGCCCTAGTTTGGGGAGAGGGAACCCCCCTGCATATGAGGGGGTGCTGGCGGAGCAGCCAGTGCTCCCCAAGGCTGAGTCCAGCCCTGTGAGACAGCACCAGAGTCCCTTGTCCCTGCTGGAGCAGGGCCATCGCTGGGATGGGCTGGGGGTGGCTGCAGCTGTGTCCTGCACAGCCCTGCCATCCCCAAGGATGGAGACTCCACCTCCTGGAGACCCATCCCAGGGCTGCAGCGTCCCTGGGGCCCCTGAACATCCCAAACTGTGATTTGTGCCACTGTCTCTTATTCCACCATCTGGCACCACCACGCAGTGTTTGCCCCCATCCTCCTTGATCCTGCTCCATGGGGCCCAGCTCTGCCACGACCCCTCCTTGGCCGCATCCAGCAGGTGCTGGGGAGCATCCACTGGAAACCATCTCTGGTTTCTCCCCATCCCTTTCCATGGGGAAGCCCAGATCTGGACACTTGCATTGCCAGGGTGTTCCCCATGGAGCCCCACACCAGCACCCAGAC